TAAACACTGACATCTTTATTTAACCTAAATCTGTAATTACAGTTATTTAATTTTAGTTATATAATTCATATACATTTCATTTATATCATTTCATATCATTTAGTTATATAATTTCAAATAGACAATTTGATTTAATAATAACCCAATTTGAGGCAAAAACTGAATGTTCTGACTAGCTTTGTGAAATTATACTACATGCCTGAACGAAACAAACAGCAGAAGCTCTGAATGAGACGCAGATTCACTCTCTGACAACAGCGCATACCGCAGGAACGGTATAACGGAAAATATTAGTGGTTTTGAAACCGTGAAATTTCAAATCGCGGTATACCTTGAAACCGGTAATCGGCGGATGCCTAGTTGTAAGGTGTAATGTTTAAACAGCTTGCCACACACACAAGAGCTCCAAGCAGGATCCACAGGCTGTTTTTAGAATGCGGAATTCCGTTGTGACTTTGACGCTCGCAGGACATTATGATGTTCTGCAGGGGTGAGAGTTCCACACCCTCATGGCTGCTCACTTACAGTCATAAGTGTTTTTATAGCATAGAGTAGAATGAAAAAGTATGACTCATTACTTTGCTTGTGAGGACATCCCCAAATGAAGGTTTTCTCAGATTTAGCTCACTTCTGGAGGCAAATTGTGTAGCTAATACTCTATCAGACAGACACAATCACCTACACACAGACTGGGTGGTCACAGCTCATTGTGACACCACTATGTTGTGAAGTACATATGCTTCCTGTGATGGTAAAAATTTCTCTTACATATCACTCAGATTGCTAAATGCATTGATGACACGCCTTGAACATACCTGGAACAACAGTGTACAGGCCCAAAGATTTTGCTTAAAGGAATCGTTCACTCAGAAATGAAAATGTACTAAAACACCATCAGGCCATCCAAGATGTAGATGAGTTTGTTTCTTCATTCAGATTTGGAGAAATGTAGTATTACATCACTTGCTCACTAATGGGTCCTCTGCAGTGAATGGGTGCCGTCAGAATGAGAGTCCACAAGTAATCCACATGACTCCAGTCCATCAATTAACATTATGCAAAGCAAAAAGCTGCGTGTTTGTAATAAACAAATCCATCATTAAAACATTTTAACCATTGCTTTGCTAAAATATGAGTCCTCTACCCAGAACATTGATTTCTTTAGTGAAACAGCTGTCTTGTCTGAATCAGGAGAGAAACATGCACAGATACAGCACTGATTACAAATGAAAATGGTCCAAAACAGTTCTAAGCAAATATGTTGGTGGATTTAGATGTGAGAGGACATCAGGGTTGGATTTTTTTTCACTGGAGAAAGCATTATGGATTTAAAAATGCCTTGATAGATTTGTTTCTTACAAACATGCAGCTTTTCGCTACACAAGACATTAATTGGACTACAGTCGTGTGGATTATTGTGATGTTTTTATCAGCTGTTTGGACTCTCATTCTGACTGCACCCATTCACTGCAGAGGATCCATTGGTGAGCAAGTGATGAAATGCAATTTCTCAAAATCTGTTCTGATTAAGAAACAAACTCAACTTCATCTTGGATGGCCTAAGGGTAAGTATATTTTAAGTAAATTTGGATTTTTGGGTGAACTATTCCGTTAAATTCACAGGGCCCAGGACTAAATTTTAATAGGTGGGCCATCTGAGTCCAATATGGAAGCAATCCTATAGTGCAGTGATTGTCAACCATGGAGTCAAGTTTGTAAAACAGACAAATAATAAAAAACTAAAATAATATTGTCATAAATCCATTTTTTTTTCAGTTCCTTTTTATAGAATGAAAACAAACTGTTTAAAATGTTTGCACGAGTTGTTTTACTCAGTATCAGGCACTAATATGGACAAAACATTTATATACATATATGTATATACACATAAAAATTGTATGTGTCTTTATGTGTAGCTAACTAGCTATATACTACTAAACTTAAAAATTCAAAGCATAAGTTGAAGAGTTGAAGAAATGTTGAACAACAACAGGTAATGAAAAGGTTATTAAATTCTATAAATGCTATTTTAGTTAATTGTTAGCCTATATTGTAATTATAATTAGCTTAAGATTGCAATATAAATGTGAAAAGACAGGTATATGAGAGTTAAAGAATTGAAATACAAATAATTGGATGTGTTTAAAAAGGCAAGATTGGACACCATCTGCTGGTGGTTTAACAGAAGACAACACAATTATGGAGAGAAAACAAATATGTGTGCAATATGGATAGTCAAAACAGTAGTACACAATGAACTGTTTTATTATAAAAGTATCACAATAAAACCAGTTACAAAGCACACATTTTTCCCTCTGTACAACACTGCTTCACAGGGTACAGACATAAATACCAATTTACAGCCAAAAAAAAATAATACATTATAGTGCCTGTCAAACCTTTAATTTGGGGTTTCAGATGATTTTGTTGCTTTTTAAAAATTATTCACTATAGTATGAAAATATTACGGCAACTAAACACATTTTGGTGACACGAGTCCCCAAGTCAGTTCAAAGGTCAAAGGCCATGTTTAAAAAATTTCAAAAAAAGAACAGAACTGATCTTAGATCAGCATATTATCTGAGTGATATTTTGTTTTATACAGCCTGAGTTCACACAGCAGAAGGGAATGAGATTCAATGTATGTCACTACAAATATTTCATGAAGGGCATTGGAGGCATCTGGTTATTACAATCCTCATACACACTTCCTGTAAAGCTCCTCAAAGTCACATAAACAAACAAACAAACAAACACACACGCACACGCACACAGAGTCCATCAAAATCTAGTCAAACACTCCAATCGCTGCCCAGGACTGACCTTCCTTCCTGTTTTTTTAATCAATCAAAAATGTGAAAGAGAGAATATTCTCTCAAAGCTTATTAATTTTTGAAACAGAACCCGTGAGCAAAAAATAGGAATTACAGGTAGCACCACTAAATGCGAAATAAATCCAATCACCACCCCAAGTAATGCTGTACATCATAGCTGAAGGGTTGCGGGGCAACAGTAGAATAGGTCTTTTCGGAGGTTTTTTTTTATAAAGAGAAGAGTTTTTTCCATTATCCAACAGATCGGATTGGTCAAGAGGGTCATAATAATCCAATAGTCCTCTTCATCCGCTCGTCCTCTTCCTATACGTCATTGCATTGCCGCTACAGATGAAAACCCTTTGTAAGCAAATGGCTACAGGAGGAAGTCTGCACGTTATATATACTGAAGGTGCTGTTCTTAAACCGGATTGTTTGTTAAAATATAATAACAAAAGGAAGCAAATAGTTGAGGCCAGACTTATCAAACCAGACAAATTGTGTATTCAGTAAAAATTCTGACAATAAGCACTTTAGCAAATCGGCCTGAGAATGTAAAAATGTGAAGTCCAAGACATCGTAAACCTAAATATTGAGTTTCTTAAAGGGTTAGTTCACCCAAAAATGAAAATTTACCCATAAATTACTCACCCTCAAGTCATCCTAGGTGTATATGACTTTCTTCTTTCAGACGAATCTAGTCGGAGTTATATTAAAAATTGTCTTTGATCTTTCAAGCTGTTTAATGGCACTCAGCGGGTGTTGCATGCATCAGTCCAAAAGAAGTTAAATAAAAAGCGCCCATCCATAAAAAAAAAAGGGGTGAACAAAGTTTCCTTACTATAGCAAAGGAAAACCAGGCAGTCTCCTCTTGGCTTATATAGAAATCCTCCAACATTCTTCTTTACAAATCCTCGTTTTGTACTTCTAATAAATGACCGTTGTTTTGTTTAGATCTCTCCCCTGCGCTTCCGCGTTCGTCACTTCTGAGCGGCGCGTGCGCAAAGCCGACCTCATACGTCATCCGCCCGGAGCTGCTTCCGTGTACAACTGTTGGCGCAAGCTACATTAAAGTGATTATTACGTTTTGAATATGGATATTTTTCTTACAAAAACGCATCGATTCGCTACAGAAGGCCTTTGTTCACCCCTTTTTTTTATGGATGGGCACTTTTTATTTAACTTCTTTTGGACTGATGCATGCAACACCCGCTGAGTGGCATTAAACAGCTTGAAAGATCAAAGACAATTTTTAATATAACTCCGACTGGATTCGTCTGAAAGAAGAAAGTCAAATACATCTAGGATGACTTGAGGGTGAGTAATTTATGGGCTAATTTTCATTTTTGGGTGAACTAACCCTTTAAACAATGCGCAAGTGTCTCACAGCACATATTCTGTGTAATGAAGCCCGCCGTGTTTGTCTCTAGTGCACACACGTGCCATATAAAAGGCTAATGCTCCGATTTAAAAATAGAGAGTGAATTTTGAATACTCGCTTGACAAGCGCGTATGCGAATGACGTCATAGTCTATAATCGATTATGGTCAATTACTGCATCGATGCAACAATTAATTTCGACACCCCTAACACACATGCATGTATATATTTAAGAAAAAGATGTTATGTTTATATATTAAATATATTTAATTATAATATAGATTATATGAATATAAAAATATTCATGTAAATACATGTAAATATTTTCTAAATATATACTGTATGTGTGTGTATTTATATAAGCATAAAAATATACACAGCACACACACATACAGTGGGTACGGAAAGTATTCAGACCCCCTTAAATTTTTCACTCTTTGTTATATTGCAGCCATTTGCTAAA